GTCAAAGGCTTAATGGATCTATTAAATGAAGAGTTCAACAACTGAAAAATAAAAAGACGACAGTCCAGCAGGAAAATAGGCAAAGGATATAAACAATAATCCCATGAAGAGATGTTCAACTACATTCACATAAATTTTAAAAGTCATGAAATCATTAATACTAGAGTAGCATAAAATTCCTATCAATTTCTATGACAAACATTTAAAACAAAAAATCACCCAAATTGATACACATGGACATTTTAAAATGGCAAATGCTATCTTTCCTATGGTGTAAAAAGAATTTTAAGAGTTCTGTTGATGACTTATTTAACCATGAAGTCTTGGTCTCTTTTGTATATAGTGTAGCTCTAACAGTTGGTGAAAACTATGCTTTCTTTTAAATGTCATTCTAAATGAGTCCCCTTCAAGATACAAATGACAACATCAACTCAAGACATCAATTCTGCTCTTATTCAAAGGGATAAAAGCTCTTTGGTGAATAATAAAGACCATTTCTTACTATTCCATATGGAGATTTCATCATCTCTAGGCCTCTTATCTGATTATCCTGTAGCAAAGTTTCCACACTTGTCTCTGCTTGTTCTCCTGGGGTCCCCACATAACCCTATGTAGCCCCACACAAGCCTATATAACCCTTCTTGGCACCCCTTTAATGCTCTGCTCACAGCTTTAGCACAGCTCTCATCACCTGTATTGTTTATGTAAACTTCGTAACAGCAGAGACCTGATCAGTTTGGGTTAGTGTTGTATTCTAAGCACAGAACAGCACTCCATGTGGAGTAGGTGCCACATGAATGCGTGAATGTCTGTTCCCTGCTGTGCTAGACACCCTTCCTTCATGTTGACTATCCATTACCCCATCCTTCCATTCTCTCCCTTATAACATAGGGGCTGGAAACCTAGAAGTTCATAGACTCGCTTGCTTTCAGGGTTCAGATGTAATTTGGATGTACCTGAATGAGATCTGTAATGCACATGGAATGGAGTTCCTCTGCCACCAGTCACAGTGGCTGACACATAGGCTTAGCAGATGTGATTTTGCAGTGGTTGGCCAGCTATGATACTGGTAGTGACTTACACAGGTTCCTGTTCTGAGTGGCAGCTTTGGAGTTGTGACCTAATTGCCTGGTGGAAGTTCTAACTGATATGCCTCTACAGGTTACTTTCTTTGAGGGAAGGGAATGTCTTAATTAAAATATTTGCATAAACATACTTGTATCATAGTGGAAAATAATATAATGATAAAAGTACAAACATTTACTAATGTTTAGTATGTGTTCAGAATTGCTCTTTTTCCATATATTAGTTTATTTAATCTACTCAAACATGTGAGGCAGATGCTGTTACTGTTCTCTTTTATAAATTTGGAAATGGAGAATAAAAAGGTTAAGAAATTTGCTCAAGAAATCACAGAATTAAATAGCTGCAATTTATGGCTCAAACCCAGGAAGCCTGGCTCTCAAGTCTATACTTGTATCTAACACTTTCTCCTGCCTGAATAACGTCTGCTTAAGACACAGTCACTGAATTTTAACTGTTTTTAGTATTTTTAAGTTATTTTTTTGAAAGGCAGAGTGACATGTAGGGAGAGAGATCTTTCGTCCACTGGTTTATACCTCAAATGGTCACAGTGATCCAAATTGGATAGCTGAAAGTCTATTGAACCAAAAAGAAAGGGACTGGCATTTTTAATGATCTGAATGTGAAGCATTAAAATCTTGATAAATGCTCTGTAAGAAAAACTGTGGACAGCTCCCTGCTAACATGCCTGGGAAAGCAGCAGAGGATGGCCCAACTCCTTGGGCCCCTGAATTTACGTGGAAGAAGCGCCTGGCTCCTGGCTTCAGATCAGTTCAGCTGCAGCCATTGCAGCCATTTGGGGAGTGAACCAGTGGATGGGAGACATCTCTCTCTCTCTCTCTCTCTCTCTGTCTATCTCTCTCTGTAACTCTTTAAAATAAATAAAAAAATAAATCTTTAAAAAGAAAAAAGATATACTGTGGGATCTAGGGCCAGCTATGACAAAGCCAAGATGTGCCACAGCGTAGCTTAACCAGCAGCACCAAAACATTCACTATCACTAAAATTTGTTATTTAATATTTTATTTCATTTACCATAAAATGCAAAATGATACTTTCTCCCTTAAGATCCTTAACCTTCAAGAATGTTTTTGGAGAATCAAAATGGGCATGTGAATGTCTTTATATACACAGACATCTGCATATAGATGTTTTGCTGGTTTTTGATTGCTCATAAATATACTGAAGGAACAAAAAACCATGAAAGTAATCAGGATCGTAGGAAAAACAAGAATGGTGAAGAATATCATGTGATTTTGTCCTTGTAGATCTTTCTGTGTCTTGTTTGGGAGTAAAAACTAAAGCAAAAGGTCACTGGCTGCAGCAACTGAAGCCATGTACACCCAGGAAGGGAAATATGTCTGCTGTGGCTTCCATCAACATGGAGAACAAGCTTCCCTACTGAGACCCCAAGGGCATGGAGAAGAGTCTGGGCAATGCCCAGTTACGTGGATACAAGAAATCTAAGTGGAAATGGTCTGAACATCTAACACCATGTAGAAGAGTATACAACTCTCAAAGAGCAGCAGTGCAATTCGAGTGAATAGAAGAAAGGCACAATGACACAAAGATAGATGCTAGAATATTTTTTCTCTTTACTTCAGATGTCTTTTTCCATGCAGAGAAAGATGCATGGGTACAGGGCTCTGGGCAGACCACAAGGTCATCCATGGCTCAGGGGAGAAGTGGTGTCTTGATTGGATGGCTGAGCACAGTAGCCCAGCCCCTTCTTTCTCTTGAAAGTAAACCTGCTCTTCCTCCTTGCTCCTCCATGTCTTACATTTTAAAGGAGTCAGTTACGCCCTTGGGTGGGCAGTGACTGGGAGGGTAGGTCTGTAATTCTGGGGTTCAATATTATAAAGCTCACTTGTCTATAGAGTTAAAACCACATTCTCCCTTAAAAGGCCATCTCTCTTGCAATTCCAAAGTTACCAAAGCTTTGTAAAGACAGATTTTTACCCAAAGATACAGAAAAACTTGAAATTATATGAGTTATCAGTGGCCAAACCTGACCTTACTTTACATAAAGTTACCTACATTTTTTATTATTCCACTTACATATTTGTTGTCTAATACAAAAGCCAATAGCCACACTTGCTTATTTAAACTTAAACTCATTAAAGTGAAACAAATTCAGAGTTCTGCTTCTTAGTCATACTAGTCATATCAAATACTCAATAGCCATATTTGACTGTTGCCAAATAGGAGAAAGATATTCCTAGCATTACAGCATCTATACAATGCTGACTTACAGCGAAGTCATATTCCTATAGATGTATTCATATTTGATGGAGGGTATTACCCTGGACCCCACATTTAAAACCATACACATGCATTTCTCTAAGAAAGAAATCTGAAAAAATACCGCAAAGAACACCTGGCCCAGAGGATCACAGAGAAGAGATGGTAGACCTGCACCAACCTTTGTCTGTAATAAAGGAAAAGCTTTGGCTTTCTTTGTGTTAGGACTTTACCTTATCCTAATTCAACTAAGAATCAAGGCCATGAAGACGCTGGTCCTCAAGCACCAGGAGGAGAGATATTTGTGCAGGCTCTTCTCATCTCCACACACATGGACTATTCACACTGAATCAAGTGTGGTTTAAAACCATTGTTCCAAGAGGGAGTAAGTACCACTTTGGAAAGCATGGACTAATTAACTACAAAACTTCCAAGGATTCAGAGATACGGGAGGTAAAGTCCAAGGCCCACTCATTTAAGATAATCTGGGATGCTGCTGCCTCCCTGACATGGTCCTTCTCCAGTGTCTTCCGTGCAGTAGGGACTGCTTAGTCTAGCATTTTCTACAATTTCCTGGGATGTCCCTAGGTCTGCACTCCAGGGAAGTGAAGCGAGTCAGGAAAGTCCTGTTCTCTCCCAGCTCTGTATTCTCTTGAATCCTGGGAGCCAGAAGATACCAGACAGTACTGATCTGCCTGATCTGGCTTATTCTCTTGTCCCTGTGGCTGTAAAGTATCTCACTGAGATCAGTCATGAGCTTCGGCTGGCCGAAGAGTATGACGAGAGGTGTTCTGAGTGTCCTACAGGCTTCTTCCTGCTTCACTCTGCTGTATGAATTCAGGCAAGTAGCCTGATATGGTTTTCTCATCTGTACAACAGGGAGCGTCCTCTGTGGTCCACTGCTCTCAGAGGGTTGCTTCAGGACAGAAACCCAAATTAAACTACTGAATGAACTAATAATGGCAAAGTAATCTTTCATTCTAAAGCCATGTATTATCTTCATTACCCAGGGGTAAATTCCCCACACAAGACTTGTAAAGCAATGTCTATTATAAATAATAATCTAGCTAGATTCTTGAAGTACTGCCTGAGTTCAACACAAAACATCTCTTATTTAGAACATTAACTGGATTTCCGTTTCTCAAGGAAGGCATGAGATAATGTTCTTTGTCTTAATTTGACAAAGGAGAGGCTCTTCATCATTGGCCAAGAATCTAATATTGGATACCAAATCAAACATTTGCTTTCTAAATCACATCCCTGAAGATCCTTCAGTAAAGTGCTGTCTCTACAGGGCTCTTAGCAAGATTTTAAGGCTTCACATTCAGGTCATTAGAAATACCCACACCATCTTTATGGTTTACTATGACATCAGCTCTCTGAGGCCCTGCTCCCATAGAAACTTCCCAGGTAAGCTTCACATTCCTTTTCTAAGAGCTGTGTGGAAAGCAGTCCAACTTCAACCACGACCAAAGGCACAAATGGCTCCACCCTCATGCTGGCTTTCCCAGGATTAATGGCTTTCCTAAAAAATATCTCAAGAAATGAGGAGATGTGAAGAATCAACCATACGAACAGTTTTAATAAAAATGACACTAATCTTGATTAGTAGTTAGGCTGACTCAATATAAACTTTTTATCATAGAAATAAGACATTTAAGAAAAAACTACTGATATTAACAGAATTTTCACTGTATTTTTGAAGAAAGTTGTTTAGTGGAAGATTTAGTTGGCTTTCTATCAGCAGATTTCAACACTTTTCATGAGACTTTTTATACTTGAGAGAATTGAAAATGTCAAGACTAAACATTTTCTAACATAATTCTCTCCAACACTTTAAAAATATTGCTAAAACATGTTAAAAATACCACCAAAAATGTAAGTTGCAGATTTCCTTAAATGGGTTGCATATCTCCATGTGTTTTTAAAAGCAGATTTAGATAAAAATCCTAGAAGACATGTGAGAGAACTGTTTTGTAAAATCCTGCTTACGTTTTGTGAGTTGTAAACTGATAAAAGAATGGCCTCCCTCAAGAGTCCTTTGTAACACTAGTGTGTGTTCACTTCATTCTTTCCAATTCCCTTGTCATAATGTGAGATTTACCTTAAACTTCTAATAAGTGCCAAGCTTGGGGGACATAATCTTTTAGGAAGTTACTTTTGTTGGTCTTCTCTGAAGTCTCCCCAGTGACTGTTTTCTTTCTTAAAAATTAGACCCAAGGCTTGCTGGAGCGCAGGAAAAGTTAAGTTTCCAGTCTCCCACGGCAATTTCAGTCTCCTATAAACACCTCTTATGGAAGAACATTTTTTCGCCTAGACAAAGGCAATTTCTGTAGTTTCATCCAGCCCCAGTGAAATGCATCTCCCCCACCCCTTTTGGCTCCACTTATTGGGAACGAAAGCTTACACTTGGGACTGAGAACTGAACGGCAGTGATGTGTAAGGACTTCTTACTACCCGGTGCTCAGCCGCTGCGACCGCACAAGTAAATAGATCAAGTTTTCACCCAGCGACCACCAAGTGTCGGTCCGTGGGCAGGAACCTGATGGAGGTGGCCGCCTTCTAGAGTCAAGAGGTCACGCCCGCCGACCCCACTCGGGAGGGCAGCTGGTCCTGGGGCCGCACCGCGGGCTGCCCCTGGACCCCTTTCGGCCTTCGCTGCCCAGGGGCTGTTCGGCCCCTCAAGGCAAGGAGTTCCCTGGCACTCGCAAGAGGCGAGGCTCCCGGAACCCCAGGCTCTCCTCGCCCAGAACTAGCGGCCAAGGAAGAAGTCCCATTTAGGAACCTGCCGCGCCGCCAGAGCCGGAGGAGCCACTCGGCGTTTGGGGTCACCTCGGAGAAAGAAATTTGTTAAAAGAAAAAAAAAAAAAAAAGAAAAAAGAAACATAAAAGAGCGCGGCTGGCGGTGGCGGAGCGGGCAGAATGAAGCTTCCAGAAACGCCCGCTTGTGCCGCGCTGGTTTCTAAGCTCGACCTGAGGAAGATAAACGGGTGCCCCCAAGAGAACTCGGCAGGCAGAGTGGACGCCCGAGGAGAAATAAAAGTGATGCGAGGGAACTCCCCAGGCCCTCGCAGGAGGAAGGAGCGCGGGGCGCGCGGGACGCACCCGCGGGGCCGCCGCACGCTCGTCGGCTCCCGTAGCGCGGACGGAGAGAAGGACAGGCGGACGCGCGAGCCGGCGCGACGGACTCACCTTCGGGGTTGGCGCTGATGAAGACCCGCACACTGCGGCCCGCGGGCACGAGGTGAGAAGGCAGGGCCGTGAGGTTCCCGCAGAATGCCGCCCGGCGGAGCGCGGAGTCCCGGGGGCAGGGCAGCTTGGAGCCCGCGCCGGCCGGCCACATCGCCCTCTGGAAAGAACAGCCACCGCCGCCGCCGCCGCCTGCTCCTCAGGTTCCTGCCCGCGGCTCCGCGGCACAGCTGGGTCGATCCCCACAGGCGGCGCCGCTCAGAGCCAATGCGAGCCCCGGGCGCTGGCGGCGAGCTCCGTGGTGCACACCCTTGGCCGGCGGGGAGCAGCCATAGGGACCCTCGGGCCCGGGTCACCGCCGCCTACTGTCCCTCTGGGCGTCTGCTTTTGCTCGCTCTCTCGGGTTCAGTGCAACAGCCGGAGGCAGCTGGAGGTTAGCGTGGCTGCGGCTACGCGCGTGGCGCCCATTTGCGCCGGGAGGCGCCCGCGCCGGCCGCCCAGCCCGCGGCCACCTCCCCACCCGCGCCCGCTGAGGGAGGCGGGGGCCGCCAGGCGGCGGGCACGGAGCGGGCGCAGATCAAACTTTATCTGCGCGAAGGCGTCCGGGAGTGATCTGAACGCGCCCACCGCGCGGCGCACGAATGACCGCGGCTGAAATAGGCTGCTGGGGCTTTAGTGCGGGGGGCTTCGGGGCGGACGAGCCCGGAGTGCTGGCGGCTGCCTTCTTGGGCGGGGACGAGACCCCAGTGAGCCCGAGATTCCCGCGGCCACCCCTCCAACTCTCCTAAAGGTCAAACGCTCTGAGCATTTGAGGGGAATCCACGCGTGCGGGTGTCTGCGCGCCTTTGTCCAAGAGCAGAGAATTTGCCCTCAAAGTTCGACGCACGCACCCGAGACCGGACCCCCAGGGCCTGAGGCCTCAAATGTCCAGACGGAGCAAGGGCCACCGTCGCCCGGCCTCTCGTGGCTCAGGTGACCGCGTCCTGCGGCTGCTCTCGCTCTGCACGCGCGTCCGAGCAGGGGTTTTTATAGCCGCGCTGCGCCGTTCACGTGCTCCTCGCCGCGTGGTCGCGGGACCTTTCCGGGAGTGGATCTCGGCGGGGAGCTCTCTTCAGGCTTCTGAGGCTCGGGGGGTTCCTTCCTGCTCCTGCTGAGGCACTTTCCCCGTCGGCCACGAGGATGCCTGGAGCCCCGCGAGGCCTGGTGCGCGCCCCCGCGCCGAAGCGTCCCACAAAATGCAAGTGGCTGCGGATTGGGGGAGGGGGTGTCCTTGGGTCCTTTCGTCTTGTTAGCGCTTTAGCTGCGTTTCCAAGTCCACGCAAGTCGGCCAGTTTGGACGCGGGACCATGCTACTTGGGGTCCAGTCCTCCGAGGTGACGGGAGCTTCAGAGCAAGCCAGACATAAAAATGCCGCCTCTGGCTGCACTCCACTACTCCCCCATGAAACACCGCATAAACCACGACTAGAAGGGAACAGATGTAGGGTTGTGTTGTGGAGTGGGAGGGGGTGACGAGAAGGGAGCGTTTGGATCCTGAATTGGGGTTTGGTCTCCAGATCGTGCATCCTGAGCTTTGGGGTTAGAAACACCTGCTTCTTAGAGAGGAACAGCTTACCCCCATCTTGGAGTTTGGGAAGACAAGGGGCGGGGCCGCGGGTGCGCTGTGTACTGCTGCAAGGTTTGTCAGCACCTGGGGGCGCCTACCCTAGGCAGTCCCAGGCCTTCTCCGCGCGCCTGCACTTCCTCTGGGCCCTGCTGGTGGCAGTGAAGTCCCATGCTCTGAGCTTTATTTTATCATCCCACCCCCAACACATAGGTTCTGGGGCAACCTCTTTGGAAGAAACGGGTCTCTAGGTTTTTAAGGCTGGCTCTCCGCCTTTGCGAGCAGGAGGCACACAGCAGTCTTACCTTGTGGTGATTTTAATGAAAGGTGTCACAAAGCCCTGCGCATACCCAGATATTTCCTCAGTGGATTCCATTTAAGCGAATTGTCTTCTTGCCTTGGGAGAGACTCATTATTCCCAGGCGAGAACATTGTCTTGCAAGAAGAGGATTTGTGAAGGATCCCATGATGTCCCAAGAGCTATGGACTGAGCTCTGGACAGGCTACGAATATGCAGGGGCTATGCCGGTGTCGTCCTTTATGAATGCACAGCATGTTACTGGGGAAAGGAGCCAGGAGTATTTTATAAGCCTGATTTCAACTTTGCTTATAAAGACTGATAAATTGCCAGATTGTGATGGACCTGCTTACCTTCCCACCCCCAATTTGTTTCTGTCTTCTTAAAAGGGAGATTGGTGTTTGCCTCTTCTGACCTTTATTTCAGAATTTAAAGTGTTGCATTTTCTTCGGATGACATTGGGATTTTTGGCAGCCTCTGTAACCTAATTAACTGTTCTACACAAGCTGAAGTTTAGCATCTGCCAGTGTCACTGCAGACCCAGGCAGCAGAGGAGAGTGGAAGAGTGGATTTTGCTCTGTCTGTGTGGCCTTGCTTAAAGGGCTCTATGCCCAACCAGCTTGGCCTCAGGTAGACCAGGCTGCTGTCTTTGGGGGCACCAGGGAGGTTGCTACCTAAGGAGACCTGATGACACGCCTACCCCTACACATGCACATGCGCAATAATCTCCCCACTCTTCTTCCCTGTCTTTTGTTGGAATCTGCTGTCCTAAACCAGACATTCATTCCTAACAGGCAGAGGTCACAATTTGTTCTGGACTAAACTTCCAACATTTTCTTCTCTCCTGTACATTTGGCATGTGTTGTTACATTTTGCAGAGGAGAAGATCAAAATTCAAAGAAGTGAATGGCATTTCTAAGGTCTTAGAATAGGTCATGGTGGAGTCAGGATGCAGATATTATCACATCCTGTCCTTGTGTGCTTTGCAGTATATCACCTCTATTTTCTAATTTTCCTGAGTCTGGTCCTGGCTTCTTCAGTAGCCTGGACAATGGCTCTCCAGACCTGTGTGGAAGGCTGATAATCACTGTAGCTTTCTAGATAGAAAAGTTAGAGTCCACATGACTGGCCTCTTCCAACTTCTAGGATTTTGATGGGATGACAGAGACTTTCAGACCCTTGGTTTTCTCCCAGCCCCATTCTTTCCTCATGAGATCACAGAGAAATCACTACCATACAGGAATTGGGATGGAGAATTTAAAGACTCTAGAAATGGAAAGTAGGTGAAATCAGAAGCAGGCATTCTCACTCTGTTCTCTCACTCCCAGCTGGCCTGCCTAAGGGCCACAGAGGGATGTACTGTCTTTGTAGAATAGTAGTCCCAGCCATTTATAAGGCCCTTTGTAAAATTACTGCTGGTTGCATACTGTTTAACAGGCAGGAAAGCATCTTATTGTGGCCTCCGGTCCCTATTGATATATAGGTGATGCCTCTACACAAATTGAAATTTTATTAAGCAAGAGGAAGGATAACTAAGACCTAATGATAATAATGTACTGAGAATGTCCTGTGTGCTAGATACCATATTAGACCTTACATAAATATCTCATTGAATTCTGCATTGTAGGTCTGGCCCCAGCACCCCCTATTTCCCTGTCTGATGTCTCCTCCTGGACAGTGCTCCCCCTTGTATACCTTTTGTTATATGCATACATAACCATTTGTGTTGTTGGTATATTTTTCTTGTTGTAAAGTCTGTGGCACACAAATATACCTTAGCTACTTCCCTTTGCTGTGAGGGCTGGTGATTTCCCCCCAACTGCATGACTGTGTCACATGTCTGGTCCATCCTTCGGCAGAGGAAGTGCTCATCAACATGTATGCAGCTGGAGTCTCTGAATTACTCTGACCCAGCAGAAGGAAGGCAGATCTCTCAACTGGTTTTTGCCTCCATGTCCACTCATATTTGAGTACATCAAACATTCTGGCTGGGAAATTTTTGGGTCACTGTTCTATATTTTGTTTTATTATGGATAAAAGTAGAGAAAGACCAAGACACAGCACCAGGGGCCAGCATTATGGCGCAGTGCATTAAGCCATGCTTGTAATGCTAGCATCCTTATCAAAGTGCTGATTCAAGTCTTGGCTCTACCACTTCTAATCCCACTCTGTCTGAATGTTCCTGGGAAGGCAGAAGATGATGGCCCAAGGACTCAGGATCCTCCCACCCATGTGAGAGACAAGAATGGAGTCCTTGGCTCCTTACTTTGGCCTGGCTCAGCCCTAGCTGTTGCAACCATGTTGGGAGTGAACTAGAAGATGGATGATGTTGCTGTTACCTTGCCTTTCAAATAAGTAAGTCTTAAAAAGAAAAGACATAACAGCACTGTATCTCAAAGAATCAAGTCAACATTAATGATGTGGTGTTTGACATTCCCAAACTTGAAGGGTATCAGAGTTAATAGTACCTTCATTCTTACAGTGCCTCTATGGTTTGGCTGGTGAATAGTTGCATTTGCTTTGCTAATGTGAAAAATGGATTATATAGGGTCACTCAAGCCAGGATTCCCCTTCCTAAAGCTCTAGCTCAGGGTATAAACTAGACCATCAGGAGCCCACTTACTTGTTTACAAAATAGAAATTTCCAGTCTGTGTGAGAATTTGTCAGCATAACAATTTACCAACAGAGACTGTTGATTTAGAGGTGTCTGCAGCATGATAGAATTCACAGCAGCTTGGTTTTAAATAAAGTTACACCTTTCTGAAAGTGCTATCTGATGTTTTCATGACTCAGAAATTCTAACTTTATATCCACCCTCTTCTAAATCTGTTTAATGTATTTTTTGATCAGTCTCCCTCTTACAACCTCCTCAACATATCGCTGAGTGCACTATGCATACCACACAAGGAAGAAGAAAATGATTTTTAAAATGAAAATATAGTTCTGAATTAAATGTTTTATTTTCTTTTTAAAAAGTTTTTAAAATTTATTTGAAAGGCAGAGTTACAAAGAGAGACAAGGAGAGACAGACAGATCATCTAACCATTGGTTCACTCCCTAAATGACCACAACGGCTGGGGCTGGGCCAGGTCAAAGCTAAGAACCAAGAGCTGCTTCTGTGTCTCCCACATGGATGCAGGGGCCCAAGGACTTGGGTTATCTGCTGCAGTTTTCCCAGGTGCATTAGCAGGGAGCTAGATTGGAAGAGGAGCAGCTGGTATTCAAAGCGACACCCGTATGGGATGCCGACACTGCAGAAAGTGGCTTGAACTGTGCTACAGTGCAGGCCCCAAACGTTTTATTTTAATTTTGTGATTGCCAAGTGTTTTCTGATTGCAATTGGTTTCTTTCCTTCTTGAGAGTCTCAAATACAATACCTTAAAAATTTTCTATTTTTTTAAAAAAATTATTCATTTTATTTTATTTTAAAGGTAGAGAGAGGTGGGCAGAGAAATCATCCTCTGTGAGTTCACGCCCCAAAGGTCTACAAAAGCTGAGCAGAGTGAGGCCAACGCGAAGAGCCTAGAACTCAAATCTAAGTCTACCATGTAGGTGACAGGGATGAAAGTATTAGTCATTGCCTGCTGCCTCCCAGGGTGGGCATTACCAGGAAGCTGGAATGGGATGTGACCTAGGACTTGAACCTAGGTACTTTATACAGAGTGTAGGCATCCCAAGCTGCATCTCAACCACTGTGTGAAATGTCTCTCCCCTCTTCTCTCTCACTGCTTTTTTTGCAAACTATTTTCATACATATTATTTCATTTTGATTATAACCCTGTGAGGTAGGTTCTGCATTATTTTTTACCCCTATTATATTTATTTATTTATATATATATATATATATATATATATATATATATAATTATCTCAAGAGATTTTAGTGGCATGTCCAAGTTCACTCAGTTGTTTGGCTGACACAATATCAAGACTAGATCTCTGAACATGAAACCATAGGTCAGTTATAATGTACCACATGGCCACCAGTGTGTAACAAAATCCATTTGGCCAAATTGATAAATATCGTTTGAACCTCTTAAAGTGTAAGAAGCTGAGAAAAATGAAATGACTTGTTTAGATGCAAACAGCTTGTATGTTGCAAAGCTAGAATATGAATGAAGGTCATCTCACTACCATCCTAGATATAGTCTATATCATGAGGACTAAATCTTAAACAAACAAAACAAGAAAATTGCCCCTTTACAATATGCCCAACCAACATTGCCAGATATCATAAACACATTGCCCAGGTCAGTTACTGTATTTTTCTTATTGTTCACATGTTTTTACTTAGCTAGGATGGTGTTAATGCATATTGAATGCATATTGAATTCACTTTTATTTACAAAGTGCTTTAAAGGGAAAAAAGTGTTTTAGTAGGACATTTTACCAGCAAAATTAAATATAGATGATAAGTCTATGAATTCTATTTTCTGAAATAAAATGCCATAGCTTTGCCATTTTCCTTTTTCTCCCAACTCACAATCTTGCTTTATCTCTGTTACTTAATAGGATTTATTTCTTCACAAACAATGGTCCTCATCACAGTCCTTTAACCTGAGTTATTTGTAGAGTTGCACTATGCATCTTCTTGGGTCACCTTTCATAAATATAATTTATTTTGTTGCCTAAATTTAGAAAACTATATGCATAAAATGACAGGTCATTTGCATCCAATTTGAAGAACAGAATAGGTAGCCCTTTATTATAACTTTTGAATTGTTGAGAAACATTTATAAATCAAATGATTTGTTAACAAGTTTTTCAGTTTTCAGCTCCTGTTACTTCTTGATAAATATGGCAGATCATCCTATCATCCTACTGTTATTTGAAGCAAACTCAAAATTTAGGAGGCCTATGGGGGGGTGGGGAGGGAATATATATTTACACACACACACACACACACACACAGGGGTCATTGTGGTGGTGCAGCAGGTTAAGCCTCTGCTTGTGATGCTGGCATTCCATATGAGTGCTGGTCTGAGTCCTGGCTGTTTTGCTTCCTACCCAGATCCCTGCAGATGTGCCTGGAAAAACAGCAGAAGATGGCCCAAGTGCTTGCATCCCTGGAATCCATTTGGAAGACTGAGATGGAGTTCTGGGATCTTGGTTTCAGCCTGACCCAGCCTAGACCTTCGCAGCCATTTGGGTTGTGAATCAGTGGATGGAAGATATCTCTCTCTCTCTCTCTCTCTCTCTCTCTCTCTCTCTCTCGTTATCTCTACCTTTTAAATAAATAAATAAATCTTAAAATGTATACATATAAAATTATGGACAAATGGTTTTTCCCCCATAAAATAAGTGTAGTGCCACTTTTTGTCCTAAAAGTATGTATTAGCATCTACATATTATGAAACATTGTATACAAAAATTTTAAAGATACTAAGTGCATATCTGCATTAGTCAAGAATCTAGAGGTAAATAACCAGAGCTACAACATGATTTCTTTTCAGAATATAGGAGTTTATACAAACATCTAGACAGAAATGAAATTGAACTTAAAGGAAAACTAGAACTAGGAATTGGACATGTCTTTGGGAAAAAGAACAATGTTGTATTTCAGTGTCTTATTTCTGACTCTGAGCATTATGGACATTGTGTGTGTGCATGAAACATTCCTGCTGTCACACAACTTTTACATTTGATACTCATAATTAAGTTATAGCCAGCCCGTGGCTCAGGCCACATGGAAAGACTGACCAATTTTTTTCTTGAAATATTTATATGAGTTAGCAGACAGAACAAGTAATTGAGTAAGTACAGTTTGTGTTGATTTTGAGCTGGAATATACTTCGTATTAGCAAGAACCTCATAGTGTTTACTCATCCAAACTGATATTTCTTTGGAAATATTTCTGTAATTCTTTCCTTGCACTTAAGCAACTTGCCATATTATAGTTAAGGGGAGTAGAACTAAGTAGGAAGGAGTACATCAAAATAGAATTTTTCTGCTTTCTCTGATTTTGTTAATATGGATAAGACAATAAAATTTACTAAACATGCATTGTTTGGCTAAATTGCCCTTTGAAGTTGTGTGTCTCTGTGTGTTACATAGAAAAATGAGGCATAATCCCTATTTTTCCTACCCAGAGTTCTTGGCTGAAGGCATCCAAACTGGTGCTTATTAACTTAAGCCTACAAGCAATTTACTGAAAATTATTGGCTGGAACAGTATTATTGAGAAAGCTGGGGATCTGCTCTTGGAAAATTGGAGGGGACCAAAAGGGCTAAGCCGATTGGATTCACAGCCAAAATTGAATAGCAGAAACAGACAGTTAGGACAGCCTTGATGCTGGTGCTGCTAAATCCTAACAATGCAGTTTGCTCAACCAACTCTAGTACCATGTGCCACTGGGTGCTAGATGTTGCCATCATTATTGCTTCATAGTTCATTCTGGTATCTTGGGCCAGTAGATTCGGGCTGCATAAAATTCTCTAAACACTACAAGTAGTTTCAGAGGTTAGACTGTCAAACCATCACATACCTCCTTCCTTGCCACCCCCACCCCAGCAAATGTACTGTAGTCTTCCTGCACTCTTATGTGGCCTAGAGTGTTTTGATGCCGTGAATAAAAGATGAATGCAATGTCTTTTACATTTCTAGTAATGCAATTAGAATAATCATGCACCACCTCTCCCAGGCTTAGAAGGCTGGCAAGGCTCACCTCTCCTGGACTACAACCAAGAGCACAAATGTGAGCTCAGAAGAAAAATCAGGACTCTATGCTTCTGTGTTCACACACTGGTGTTCACCCACTTGACTCCTGGAGGATCCCTAGAAGCTATCTGTCCAGCTCTCTCAACACTTACTATATATGCGATTCAAAGATGCTGTGTTTTCTTGGTTGGCAAAACCATAGCAGATTAGTCACACTAAGTTAGAAGATGAGAGGCAACTTCTAATAAGATGCTACAAAGGAGAAAAGACTGCTCGTGGCCAAGGGTCAGGACACAAGACAGCAGAAGTGATTCATTCTTTCTCTCTTACTCTCTTTTACACACACACACACACACCTCAGCGATCTAGACACCATTTAATTTGGGAACAACAGTATTCTGTATATCTTAAAGTGGGAAAGATCAAGAGTGAATAGTTCCCAGTGGATGAAGAGAAACTGAACATGTTGCAAGTACTTTAGGCCAGTGTTTACCAGCAAACAACACAGTTGATATAGGAATGCATGGCACCTCTGATGTCCAATAGCAAATACTTGGCATGTAGGTGGAAGTCAACATCAAAAGTGGGGGAGATTCAGGTAGAACACTTCCTTCAAAACAACATTGTAGGGATATTTTATTTAAGGGCCTGAGGTAGTGGAGGTCATACTAGTGGTAGCAGTACTGGTAATAAGAGTAAACATTTACTGGATTCCTCTCATTGGGAGAGATGTGGTTCTATGAGCTTTAGAGACATTGATTCTTTTAAATTTTCATTCCATCTATAATAATTATCTCTGTTTTATAGATGAGATAGAGGCAAGGTGATATCAAAATACTTTACCTATATTTTGTAGTTAGGATGTGGTGTATATGGCTCCCGAATCTGGCTTTTGATCATTATGATCTGCTCTAGATGTGAAAGCAGCATACCAATACCAATACCCAGGTAAAGGACAACCAGCTCAAAAAGGACACACAGGTTGCAACTTTTGTCTTAATGAGAAGGAAGCAATATTCAATGAAATTTTAATTAGTGCCACATTCATATGAAGTTCCATGTGCTGAAATAATTATTACTCATGTTTAAAAATGAACAGCATGAGCCTAAAAGAGGTTAAATAATATGTTTATCCTTACAGAGCTTGTAAGAGATGAAACTGATTCCATATTATTTCTTCAACGGGTGACATTGCCTCTGAACAGTGCAGATGCATTTTCAAGAATGAACTGTTAGAACATTGTCCTTTCATGTATTCATCTACTTCTCTTGTTAATTTATTCACCAAACAGTTGTTAAATTTCTTCTTATTCTCTCAGCACAAGCCCTGTTCCCAGAAAATCCAATCCATGGGACTCCAAAATGTAGAAATTGACCAGCTGGCCCTAAGATTCATTTGGAAGTTCAATAACCTAGAATGACCAAATAAGACCTGGAGAAAGAATGACGATGTTGGAAGGATTATATCATAAGATTTCCAAACCTATTACAAAGCTACTCTCCTATCTTTCCTGGTTTTTAATTCCTGAGAGTAATGACTCTGTAGTTCCTCAGAGTAATAATTAAGTTTTGTTAAACTTTTTTGTTCTTTTTTTAAAAAAATAAGATGGAGAAACTTGGGTGAATGAAACTTAAAATAGCACATATGCATCTTAAATAGTGCTTTCCTCACAGTAAGTGCTTTGCAGTTGTGAGCCAGTTGAACCAATAAGCAATATGTGAGTGAGAAATGGTGCTGAGTATTGAAAAGACTGAGAAAGTCCAAGGTGGGACTCAAGGGCAAGTACTGCAGGAGTTCAGAAAAGAGGAAATCAAGGTGAGCCGACAGCAGTTGGTGTTCCCCATCCCTATCTCTGGTATCAGTGCAGTTGGATCACTAGGAGCTGTTGAGGTGACCCAGATGGATGGTGTTATCTGTGTCACGGTTTGTTTTCTTCCCAGATATGGCTTGTGCAGAGCCCTGCAAGCTTAATGAGGGCAGAAAAGAATAGGATTCAGAATCACTTAACCTTTCAGAATTTCTGTTTGCAAATCAAGATTATCAAGTATAGCTGTATAACACCTTAAAGCCTTGTGATAAAAGGTGCTGTTAGTATTGTGTGTGGAATCTGTTAGAGAGCACAACAGTCTACATGATGTGGAGTGGCTGAATACATCAAAGTATTCACAGCTAGTCTGGAGATAAATCCAGTTTTCTGCTGAATTTGGGGTTTTCACAGAAATACTTTCATGGAGGCCCCATCCTTTCAGTAACTCATTAGACAGTAGACTTATGTGTATACCTGAGTCATTTTTACATTATGGAGAAGTAGTCAAATTAAAAGGAGGGCTTGCAGTGCTTTCAAGACATGGCTAATTCTTTATTATAAGTGGACTTTCAAGCGGAAGTTCACTGCTGTACTAGCTGGAAGTAATGGCAATCTGTTTCCTTCACATTTCTATTAGACATATATCTTCACTAACTTCAGTTCTTCAGGAAAATGACTTTCCCCTTAGGAAGCATTTTCACATGTCCTTTATCAGTATTGGTTGCTATAGTGATCAGATTAACCAGATGGTGGCCACTACTGTGATACCTGGTATGCAAACAACTGCAAACACCAACAAACAGTTAACAAATTATCATAATATATTCCTCAATATTTTAATCTTTAGATTTTGAAAAACTTTTAGTTAAAGATATTTCTTTCCTTCTACCACCAGAAGGGAATGCTAGGAATTTCAGTTAAAAAGTTTGGGAAGAAAAAAAAAATCTTTACCACTAGTACATGTAAATCTTAGTTTATTTTAAAACAAGAGAAAAATAACAAAAAGATATGGGAGCAGACTTCATTTTTGAACTTTACACTTATGATTATGGAAAGAATAGGGGACTATGAATCATTTGGAAACAGGAACGGTGAACAGATCATAGCTTTACATACCTTATCTTAATATCATTATGGGTTCCAAAAATATAGAATGTCTACTAGGAGAAGAAATCACAATCATTTCCTCACCATAACCACTTATCTTAGCTTTTTTTTTTTTTTTTTTGGACAGGCAGAGTTAGTGAGAGAGACAGAGAGAAAGGTCTTCCTTCCGTTGGTTCACCCCCCAAATGGCTGCTATGGCCGGTGTGTAGCTGCTGGCGCCGATCTGAAGCCAGGAGCCAGGTGCTTCCTCCTGGTCTCCCATGCAGGCGCAGGACCCAAGCACTTGGGCCATCCTCCACTGCACTCCCGGGCCACAGCAGAGAGCTGGACTGGATGAGGAGCAACTGGGACAGAATCTGGCACCCCGACCAGAACTAGAACCTGCGGTGCCGGCGCTGCAGGCGGAAGATTAGCCAAGTGAGCCATGGTGCTGGCCAAATCTTAGCTTTTTATTTATTGAAATTACACAGTGCCTGGTGCTTAAGAAATGCTTTAGAATGAATTTCCCATAACCTGGCTAATAATCCTGAAATCTTCAAAATGGCAGATAAGCCATCACATCTAGCAAAGACACAGGTATCTGCAGTAATCCCAAGAAAGCCATATGTGGAGCAGAGCATTTTTAGTACTTCCCTAAGGGAACCACACCTACTGCTAATTCAGTAAAAGGAAAAAAGCTCCCAGCCTAAGGTTGCAAAGACAATAATGAGTAATACTCTAGAACTATCCAAAATCAAACTTCTGATGCATATTGGTATATGCTTAAACACCTCTTCCATGTCTGTTTCATTAGAAAAGAAAAGATAAAAACCAGCCTGTGACATTTTGCACTTATTAGATACCTACCGTTTATTTCAGCAACAACTCATTGAACACCTACTGTCTTCTTTGTACTGTGAAGTACATATTTATTACCATAGGATATAGCATATTTAAGTAGAACCATGAAGAAATATAGAGGAAAAGATTAAAATCTTAGTCTAAGACTAACCCAAAAAGCAGGACCAACAATTGATATTTACTTTCTGCATCATTATTTTCTAATTCCCTTATTCCCATCTGGTTCAATGACATGAGAATCAGAGTAAGTGAAGAGAGCTTTCCATCTGTTAAAAATGTAGAATAAAGCACTTAATTTTGTGGGCAAGCACATAGAGTACTTATAAATTTCTCATAATTGAAATGATGAGATTCTCTGTTAAGTATAGCTGAGTTTTGAAAGGTCACTATTATACAGATAGATGGGTTTGCAAATGTGTCTGTGAGTTTGGTGCTATTCTCTGTTCTCAAGTGAGATGAACCCCTCCTAGTGTAATGGGTATGAGCATCACAAATTTACTCATAAGAAGACAATTTGCCACACATTATAAATACATAAATTATACAATGGATATCAATTGTATGTGCTGCTCATCTTTCATCCCTTGCTCT